CGAGCTGTGCGACCGCGTGTCGGCGCAGTTCCGGCAGCTGTTCGGCGCGGCCGGCGTGGCCTCCACCGGCTTCCTCCGCACCACCGAGCCCCGGCACCGCGCGGCCGTGCGCCACTTCTGGGGGGAGCTGCGGTCCCGGGGGCTGCTCCGCAAGGGCCTCTACGAAGGCTGGTACTGCGCCTCCGACGAGTGCTTCCTGCCCGAGGCCAAGGTCACCCGGCAGCCGGGCCCGTCGGGGGAGCCGGTGCCCGTGTCCGTCGAGAGCGGGCATCCGGTCTCCTGGACCAAGGAAGAAAACTACATTTTCCGGCTCTCCCAGTTCCGGGAGCCGCTCCGGCAGTGGCTGCGCGGCGACCCGCACGCCATCGCCCCCGAGCCCTTCCGCGGAGCCGTGCTCCAGTGGCTGGAGGAGGAGCTGCCCGACCTGTCCGTATCGCGCAGCCGCCGCCACCTGCACTGGGGCATCCCGGTTCCCGGGGACGACTCCCAGACCATCTACGTGTGGCTGGACGCCCTGGTCAACTACCTCACCGCCATCGGCTACCCAGACGCCGAGTTCCAGTCCTGGTGGCCCGCGACGTCGCACATCATCGGCAAGGACATCCTCAAGTTTCACGCCATCTACTGGCCTGCCCTCCTCTTAGGGGCCGGGCTGAGCCCACCGCACCGCATCTACGTCCATTCCCACTGGACGGTGTGTGGCCAGAAGATGTCCAAGAGCCTGGGCAACGTGGTGGATCCCAGGACTTGCCTGGAGCGCTACACGGTGGACGGCTTCCGCTACTTCCTCCTTCGGCAGGGAGTTCCCAACTGGGACTGCGACTACTACGATGAAAAGGTGGTCAAGTTGCTGGACTCGGAGCTGGCCGATGCCTTGGGAGGGCTTTTGAACCGATGCACTGCCAGCCGGATCAACCCTTCTGGGACTTACCCAGCCTTCTGCCCTGCCTGCTTCCCCAGCGAGCCGGGCCTGGCCGGGCCCTCGGCGCGTGCTCGGGCCGAGGACTATGCGCTGGTAAACGCAGTGGCCGCCTTGCCCCAGCAGGTTGCTCACTACTATGATCACTTTCAGATCTATAAAGCGCTGGAGCAGGTATCCGCCTGTGTTCGGCAAACGAATGGGTTTGTCCAAAGGCATGCGCCCTGGACACTGAACTGGGAAAGCCCGGCGGATGCTCCCTGGCTGGGCACCGTGCTTCACGTGGCCCTGGAATGTTTGCGAGTCTTCGGAACTTTGCTTCAACCGGTGACCCCGCACTTAGCTGACAAACTACTGTCTAGGTTGGGAGTCTCTGCCACCGAGAGGGGCCTTGGAGAACTCTGTTTTCTGCCCCGGTTTTATGGACATGCATGCCCTTTTGAAGGGAGGAAGCTGGGTCGTGAAACAGGGCTTTTATTCCCAAGACTGGACCAGTCTAGGTCTCGGCTGGTAAAAGCTCACGGGACCTAGAAATTCAGTTCTTGTGGTAAAAGAGCAAAGGCCTCTCTCTCTCTCTCATAAAAAAGTTACACGTTGTGGTTTGTTTTCTAAACTGTTAGATGATCACAAAGTATGTCATTATGAAAAGAGCTTTTTGGGCCTGTCAGGTGCCTACCCTGTCTCCACTTGTTCATGTCATTAGCCACTCTTCTTTTTGCATCTGTGTATCTAAAGTGTCTTCAGGGAAAGATGGTTAAAAGACAACTTTTCTGATTCCTACTCCTAAATCATACTTAAATTATTTGTTCAAACTACCTCGCATGGCATCTGTCTCTTAAGCTAATTAATAGTGATTCCTTACTTTGAGTAGGGATTGGAGGCCTCCAACCTCAGGTTTTAGGGTTAGCTGTCTTGGGGTTTAAGCTGAGGACATTGTGCTTGCTAGGCAGACGTTTTATTTCTGACCCATGCCTGCATCCTGGTCATAATATTGGGTCTCCTGGTATAAAAGGTTTTTTTTTTTTTTCCCCATTGGATCTGCAAATGCTGGTATCTTTTTTTTTTTTTTTTTTTGGGGGTCCGGTCGTGGGGCCTGAACTCTGGGCTTGAACTCCAGACTAGAGCTCTACCACTTGAGCCACAGTGCCACTTCCGGCTTTTTTCTTTATGTGGTGCTGAGGAATGGAACCCAGGGCCTCAGGCATGCAAGGCAAGCGCTCTACCACTGAGCCACCTTCCCAGCCCCAAGTGCTGGTATCTTGGTTTAGATTTTTGCTCATCTTCATCCCCTTCTTTATATTTTCTTTGAAATAGGTAGGACTTGATTTTGTTTATAGTCCAAACTTTGGGCTTTGTAATATTACACTTGAACCAGTAGATGGCTCTGGTCACACATACATTAAGGTTTAAAATGTTTAATTTTCTGCTTTATAATTTCACAGATTTTTCACATTTTTATTGCTTTCCTTTAATGGATAATTGAGAAACCACTGCTGTTCTAATGGAAGGTAATACAAATAATAGGATTCTGTTTTTTAAGACTACTGAAAAACTATATTCTCTTAACAAGCTAATAAGTAAATATGTCAACTTGTTATAAACGTCAAAGCTCTTTTGAGGTTCTTGGTAGGTTAAGTTTTAAAAACTTAAATAACATTAGGTTACATGACCAATCTAAAAACCTCATAAGGGCTATAATGTCTTATTTGGTGCTGGTAGTGGGGTTTGAACTCAGGGTCTGGGTACTGTACCTTAGCTTTTTTGCCCAAGGCTGGCTCTCTACCACTTGAGTCACAGCTCCACTTCTGACTTTTTGGTGGATAATTGGAGATAAAGAATCTCATGAATTTTTCTGCCTGTGCTGATTTCCAACTACGTTCTTCAGATCTCAGCCTCCTGAGTAGCTAGGATTACAGGTAGGAGCCACTGACACCAGGTGTCATGATTTCTTTTGGTCACTCAGGATCTACAGTACAGTGTAGAGAGTGTATGATAATTGTTACAAATGTTAATACATTAAATTTCAAGTAGTTTTTGCTGATTATTTGTTATTTTAACTTTAAATTAAAATTTGTAATTACCTTATTCAGATCTGTTCTGTTGCATTTGTTGAAGGTGATGGTGAAGAGAGGAAATGATCAATGCTCCAGGAATCTTAAAACTGGATTTAGGGGTCTCTTGAGGGCCATAAGAGAACATCACAGAGATGTCAACTTACCAATTTATATAATTACCGCAACATAGTATGCCAGTGTTATAACTTATAGGTAGATTGGAATGGTAGGCCAAAGTTTAAATGAAGACCTTGCTTTGGATTATTCCCTGAAGTGTGGTAGCAAGCAGGGGGCTTACTACAAAGTGAAACTTGTGCTGGCAGTTACTCCAGTTTATTCTAGGTGCCACCATTGTTTCAGTTTCTGTTTGTTCATCTGTGAGGAGAGGAATTTCTAGTTGCTTGGAAACATTGCTTGGGAAGAATGTTTGAGGGCATAAATGTTCCTTTGTCCTGCCTGTTTCTCATTCTGTTTCTCATTTGGCATGTTCCAATTACCTGCTGGGCTTACCAGGGCAGACTTTGGGGCAAAGAATGTAGTGTCTGCTGGAGCTGGATGGATTGTGGTGGGAAATGGCATAGGTTTACATCAAGGAAGACATGTGGAAAACCACTTACATGACAACCTGTGCCTTCAAAGTATCCTGAAAACATCATGAACAGTTCCTGTCATGGATCCAGACAGGGTATTTTCCAATTGAATGATCTTTCTTATGGTCCAGTGCTGGTCAACAGCCTGGAGCTTGGCTGCTGAAGTTAATGAAATTCTTTCTGTGATGACTTATTTTTGAAGTGAACTGGTTAACAGGATGTGTGGGGTACTGGAGGCATAAGAAAGTAAGAACCCCCCAAAAAGTGGGGGGAGATGGATTACAAAGGACAGGAACCTGGTGCCAGTGCTCATGCCTGTAATTCTAGGCTGAGATCTTAGGGTCATGGTTCAAAGCTAGCCAGGGCAGAAAAGTCCATTTAGACCCTTTTTATCCCAATAAACTACCAAAAAGCCAGAAATGGAGCTGTGGCTAGAGTGCTAGTCTTGAGCAAAAAAAGGTCAAGGACAGCATCTAGGCCCTGAGTTCAAGCCCCAGGATACAGGGAGACACACACACACACACACACACACACACACACGACAGAGTATTTTGAGTAGTGTGTGGTAAGCTGGATCTGATTTATGTGGTCACATGGTAGGTGAACCGTCAGATTCTCTGTAGGAGGCACAATAGGTAAACAACTACCCTTTGGATATTCAGTTTCATCCAGCAGTTTAAGAATGGCAAGTGGAGAACACTGTGGCAGTGGTGTCATTAAACACTGGAAGGTGTGTGCTTCTGAGGCATCTGCACCACTTCTGACAAAAGATAAAATGTGTAGCACTTAACAGTTCTAAAACTGTAATACCTTTCCTTGAATCTTTTTCCCATAAATTATCTTCCAGATTCTGCCCTTGTGGACCGCAAATATTCCTTGTATTCTTGCAGGTAGTGTTTGCAAGAAGTGACAGCACTACCTAGATCAGGTGTTCAGCTGATGTCAGCTCAGGGATCACTGTCCCATCAATGAAGTCATGTAGGAGGTAGTGGGCGATGTGTAAGAAGCAATACCATATGGAAGGCCTTTTCCACAAGCAAACTCACAGATTAGGCATCTTAGAAGTTAGAAAACCTGTGTCTGTAAGAGAAGCAACTAGATAAAAATCTCTGATTTGGGAGCTGGGAAGGTGACTCAGTGGTAGAGCGCTTGCCTTGCATGCCTGAGGCCCTGGGTTCGATTCCTCAGCACCACATAAGCAAAAAGAAAAAAGCCAGAAGTGGTGCTGTGGCTCAAAAGTGGTAGAGTGCTAGCCTTGAGCTGAAGAGCTGAGGGACAGCGCCCAGGCCCAGAGTTCAGGCCCCACAACTGGACCCCCCCCCAAAAAAAAATCTGATTTGAAGCCTGTTATTCTACAAGTCAACCTCATCGTTTTTCTTAGGACTTGTGGACTATTTGGGCTGTGAACAGCCTAATAAGTTGAATATGAAGTTGATGCCAAAGTATTTGGGAAAGCAACAGACTGGAAGATGGGCCCTCCAGCAGATTTTTTCCCCCAAGGTTGTACCTATTGCTGGGATATAGCTTGATTAGTTCCAAGAAGTTCTGAAACTAAAGTAATAGCAGGTCAGTTTCTAGGCCTCCAGCAAGGATGATTCATAATTAATGAGGTACCTGCAGGTTACAGTACCGAGGGCATGGTGTCATGGGGATGGTGTCATGGATCTCTTGACTCCATTTCTGCATGTTGTGGTGGTGGGGGGTCTGCATTGTAACCAGTTATGAGGCACAAGGAGTCTCCCAGTGAAAATTTGATCCCTAAGGGTATGCTATGAGAATCTGTAATTGTCTCCTTGAAGCAATTTTCCAATGTAGTCTTACCAGATATAGAAAAATTTAGTGGCAAGGTCTAATGGGTGCTTACCTTTTGCCAGAGAGTGAGGATCAGTGGACCTGGAAGGGTGTGGACATATTGACTGCTATGAATCTATTTTTGCAGCTAAGTTTTACTAGAGTTCAGAGAAGCAGGACAGATTGGAGAAACCAAAAGTATAAGTTTTGGAGGAAAGCATGTGGATCCCTTGTGAAGCTAAGGTAGTATGAAACATCACAGTAAGTACAATTGTCCCATTTTTTTTGCAGGAACTTTGGATAGGATTTTTTTTTTTCTCCGTGCTGGTCTGGGCTTGAACTCCAGACTAGAGCTCTACCACTTGAGTCACAGCTCCACTTCTAGCATTCTGGTGGTTAACTGGAAATAAAGCATCTCATGGACTTTTCTGGGATGGCTTTGAATTGCGATCCTCCGATCTCAGCCTCTTGAGTAGCTAGGATTACAGGCATGAGCCCCCAGTGGAGTGATTGACTGACACTTAGGAACTGCACACTAAACTGACCACTATTTCTGGAAGAACTAGAACAGTAAACCCAATTAAGGTTGATTGAATGGGAAATTTAACCTTCCAGGAATTGTGTTTTACATCTGGAGAGAAAGGATGTAAGTATAGGCTAAGATGCCTTCCTATTTTGAGGAGAGGAGGGACTAACCAACTAGAGGTGAAACTGTCTTGTTTTTAGGTAGTCTTGGGTTACCATAGATCTTGCACATGCAAGGAACCATCTAACAGGGAATAGTTGCCATGTTTAAATACTGAGTCACTTGTTATTTATATTTTCATGATAGGAGAAAAGAACTGGGAGGCATACACCTTAGGAGGATCTTCTGTGGTCTTGACAACTAGAAATAGTATACCCACTACTGTGGCTTTTCTCCTGAGTAGGTATTGGGAAGTTCAGACAGACTTGGATTGTCACCTAAGTATGAAAGTCTTTTTTTTTGGTCAGTCATGGGACTTGAACTGAGGGCCTGGGCCCTGTCCCTGAGCTTTTCTGCTTCAAGGTAGTGCTATACTACTTTGAGCCAAGGGCCACTTCTGGTTTTTGGTGG